AGTCCCAAAGATTGATTATTCCGAATTTATATTTCGAATAATTCTTCTTTATTTGTTTTTAAAAGCTGGTAAACACATATTAGATAATAGTTCTCCCAACGATAGTGCTGTAAAAGATGGAGGCTAATGTAAATATGGATCTGCGAAACGACTATGACGCCATGACATCTTCGGCATACCTTGTGGCAAGTTTTTTTCTGATGCGGTTGTATTACGTTATATACACATTTAACACAACAAATGACAACAGTGATACCAGTTACCGACTCTATTCCTACGATGTATATTATGTATGATATCCCTGCCATAACTGACAGGTAATATACAAGCTTACATCCCGAAATAATGACAGGGCATCCACAATGTAGTACACAGACGCTATTTAGGTCTAGCATGTTATAAGCTATAGGTCATGTATTAAGTGTTTGCTATGTAACACACTAAAAGGCAATTTGTATTTCTGCCAGACCAATGTTATATGTTTAGGGTGAAGTATTATGGCGTTTAACACCCCGAGGATATCATCCTTTTAGGTCCTTACAACAGCTTATCAAACTTAACATTGATCCAAAAGCTTGGCAGTTCTCTCTCTAAATGTTGACCTATAAACATGTTTTGTATATTTCACAACAAGCTGAGCAGCTGGCTTTTTCAGGGTGAATGTTTATTTTAGCCAAATATTCTCTAGCCCTTTCTTAGATTTGGACATATTTTGACAATTTGATTGTTGGGCGAGAGCCGTAACACACTGACATACAAATGTAGACGTTCACAATACAACGCAGAGTCCCAAGTATGTGCCTTATATTAGAAGATATAAATACTGAAGTCTATGTTTACTTGTACCTATGCATGCTAGTGCGTTTAGGCTCTCCTGACAATTAAGCTGTCCTAATGTATCTAGTTTTGGCGAAGATCTTAAGACTCCCAGGTTCTTCTGCCTTTTCAGATCGTGAAAATAGATTTAAAACATAAGATTTTACAGATACAGCTAAATTGTATTAAGTGTTGCGTTCTATAGTTGGTATTTGAACATTAACAAATGATAATAACCTCTAACATCGCCTCCATCGCCTTCTGTTAACGTATTATGCCTTCAGGTTATTACCAACCTCAGCAAGTGTCAATAATTGTTTATTAATTTCATGGCACATTAAACAATTCAACATATTGAGATTTACTTAAATCAAGATTCTGGCCTTAAATGTCAGTGATAGATAAAACGTAGTATTCGCCATCCACTGATTTCAGTATTTCTGCCGTGCCCCTCATCCCAGTAGACCTAATGACTTAATGCTGATGTGCGTTTCATGGCGACACCATATTGAATAGACATTAAGCCGGTTTGGCCCAGCAGATCGCCGGAAAGTAGTCATATTCAGGAGGAAATAACACTCCCTGGAACTATTGCCACTTCTAATGTACCAGGTACGTGACATTGTGATTCTAATCCTGGCTGTCATTGTGTACGTCGACCGTTGTCCTCGTCTTATTCAAACAGTATATAGTGATATGTGTTTGCTATAAACGGTCTCCATAGTATAGGCACAAATTATGCATACATGGACAAGATTTGATTTTGGTTGGCATACGCCTATGAATATGTATTTGTCGTTTTGTCCGTTTTTCCTAACAGATATAATCTCGGGATTCGTTTGTGAGGTTTGTCAGTTACACAACTGTGTCTTGTAATGTAACAAAAAAGGAAGGTTTTCTACATGTCCAAATTTCAGTTTAAATCGCCCCTGACGAAAGTGTTATCTCCTGTAGCCGTATCCAAGTCGTATTTGATATAATATATGTATGAATGACGTAATTGTCAAAAATGGAATTAAACTGACGCGTTTACTAATATCGTGCGAGAACATGGTTTAATACGTCAAATTCTACGCGTTAAATGCAAACATGCTCGTTTATCTCGATTCCGACAAGAACAGATTTTTATAAAATACATTGTATATGACATGCACGTACATTGTGACAGAGAACAAGGGTCTCATATCTGCCCTAGACTATTGAGTAATCCGTTCACGATTTAACGTTTGTTGACATTGCCATCCGTAAAACTATCATGAAACCTGACCACGTGGCTTTACACATTTGGGTATTAAGGTTTCCTCCCACGTTAAGACCAACTGTGCGCTTTTGTTAGGACCAAGGAGAGTTATTAATTGAAGTTGATATGGTGTTTTTTTCATAATTATCTTAAAACAAATAAATCCAGATTTTAACAACCCAATAATACAAATTATTAATTAGGCATGCTTTTTATTTAAGATATCTAGTCTAGCAATACATGTAAAATGGTTCCGGGTCTCAGTGCCATCAATTCATCGCACACTGTCGTTTTAACTGCACGAAAGCTCCACATGAAAATAAATGAATATATTTCTACAGTGGAAAAGTATGAAACTAAAAGGCATTAAATCTGTCTACGTTATAAAAAGTATTATATTTATATATAGAAGTGTTTTATTCCAAAACTGGATTTAAAATTGAGTCTGGTCTCGTTAGGGTGTGTACGATAGAGTCTGGTATCATTTAGGCTTGTACAATATAGTCTGGTCTCGTTATTGTGAGTACAGTTGAGTCTTATACATGTATCGTAAAAGTGTGTACACTAGAGGTTTGTATTGTTCAGTTATGTTCAGTTGAGTTTCTGAAATGTGGTTATTTCGGAACTTACGGTGTAGATTTCCGAAAGTAATCATAATTTTGAATACTTTTTTAAGTGTTATTTTTATTCATGTGTGTCATTTTCTGTTCATAAAATCATACTAAACAGCCAAAACTGAAAATTTTGGTTGGGCTTATATGCTCTTAAAATTATCCAGTTTGAGGTTAACTTTTCTACAAGGGAAAATGTTCCCGTTATTTCTACTGATCAACTAAATGCGCACGTTTCATATTAAAACACTGGACTCAAACTAATTCTTTTATAGAAATCACAGCACTAATCGGTTTCTTATTAGTGATTGCCTTGATGTTAAGGTCGGTACCAGTCAGAATGTAATAACAACTAAACATACCCTGCAGCCTCGCTCTGAGGTTTGCTTTATCTCAGAGGTCAGCAGTCTGCTTTGTTCGTTTTATATGTCAATGTAATAACGTTATTTTTAAAAGAATTACAAAGGCCATCGAGATCAAAAGGCTGACAACGTTTATCTAGACAATATACTCCTCATAGAAATTTACATTTATTGTTTTTATAACGGTATATCATGTATTTTGTGGAGATATAATAGTACAGTCTGTCTCGATCGGACCTTAAAACAGAAGTTTGTTGTATATAACGTGTAAAACGAAATTTAAGGTCCTTAACAACAGATATGAAAATTGTTCAAGGTCTAAGTTTTACAAAAATTCTTATCTTAAAATATTGCTTTAAGATTTTCCATGAGAAAGCAGAACTTAAGCTAAGAACAAATGACTTGTAATGGAAGGATTTCAGGCAATTCTTTAGCTGAAGTAAAGGAGAATAGCCGAAAACTGTCCATTCTGTGAGAGAATGGACTGACCGAGGCCCGTATGGCCGAGATCTGTTCATTCTCTTACAGAATGGACTATTTGGGGCTTTTCTACCACTTACAGTACCCCTTTTTATTAAAAGTGGACACATTTTTGTTTTAAGAATAGAGAGCTGCTGAACAATGTACAAGTAACGAAGTTAACAATGACGAGGTGTTTGTGGGTATGCTGCATGAGCTTTGGTCATTCATACATAACTGCATATTGTTAACTTACTGGACAGGTACAGGTAGGGTTACTATATTTGAAAATGCACATGATTTGCATGTCCAAATACTGATGAAGTGAATCCCGGGTATTTACCAGTCAGTTCAGATTGGTCGTTAGGATCGAGAACATGGGATTTTCAGGACACGACAATATCGCTTTCGACATCATTTTGGAAGATTTTTAATGTCAAGACATGTTGATTGACACAACACATTGAACAGAGAACAAAAGGGAAAGTTTGCTAAAATGGCATTTAAACTGCATGCATCAGGAGATAAGTCGAACATTTCCTGCAGCAGAGGGTAAGTCAATTCAAAAACCAAAAATATCACCTAAACCAATGATGGCAGTTAAATGATCTCACTTCCAGGAAAAAAAACATTATAGTCTTGAAAAATTAGGTCTATTGGATTAATCCTACCTTCAAGTATAGATCGTTGTTTGGGAAGATCTGTTGGATTATTCTTGAATCAAGATGTATGTGTTTCTATTCCATCAATGTTCATATTTTGAAATAATTATTGGATTACCATATTCCTCGCCGAGAGGTTTAACAGCACTCTGTTGGATTAATTTGTTCTCAAAGACTTTTCTCCTCAATAAAATTCAACAGTGACATGAGCAGCTGGATTATTCCTGGATCAAATATAACTGTCTGTGGTGTTTCAATGGATTATTTTATATTCATAATGAACACATTTCTGGTAAAGCAATATGTTGTAGATAAATTGTGGATTTTCTTCTAAATGCTGATGCTTAAAATTATTTTTGTTTCCTGTAACTGCATTTTTAGGCCAATATCTGTTTATTATTTAACATCATAATGGACAGCTACAGGTACTTCATTATACATTATTCTATATAATGTATAATGAAAACAAAGGATGATGTGTACGAAGGAAAGTAGTGGAATCATATTTACATCAAATACGTGGGTAAAACCAGGATCTAGCCTGCTACTTTCGATTTGTTTAAGTTTGTTTTTTGTTTCATAATTGTCTGTTTTAAAATATGCTTTCAATATTTTTGATATTAAAAGACTTAAAAGTCAACAATGATTCGTCCAACCCACCACGTTGTTTTGTTTTTATAACACGTACGTACATTATGTATTACCTGTACTTACACCTATTCATGTAGAAGTCAGAACATATTTGAACTAACCTGTATATTTTATACTATCTCCGGTGAGAATTTGTGTCTCACATCTACAACATTTTTTTCATCCAAAAGAAAAACAAAATAATAAAAAAATGATAAAGGCCTTGATGAAATCATCGATAGTTTAATACAGTAATGAGTGCACGACATTGACGCATGAGGAGATAAGGACGGTACAGGCCATGTGACTGTGGTCCTGATCCCCTATTTACCATAGCGGAAACCTTTCCTCCCTACGTCTTTCTGGCTTGCCTTATGTTTGTTATTTGGTGACATGCGCATTGAAGCCGGAACATACCCAAGAGGCTGCCAGAAAACCTTTCGTTTGTCCATAGAGCGTTTTAAACCACTAAGATCGCTTGAACTGCTTAAGTCAGCGTCAGAGTCAAAATTGTCTCCATTGTGTCCGTCCACTTCCTCCTCCAATGCGGCTGCGCGGTCCATCAGTCTCTGTATCACTTTAGCGTAGAAGGCCTTCTCCTCTTCCGTTATTACAGAGTCTATATAGTTACTGGCCTCATTCGACTTGGACAGTCCAAGAGCACCAGGAAGATAGGACCCATAGCACTGTACGACAAAAAAGTTGGCAAACACAACCAGCAATAAGGATGTTCCTTGTGTCATCTGAAAAAATAAAAAGTGGCGATGAATTGAAGGTTATACATGCGTTATTGAGCAAGACGAAAATGAAATAAAAAAAGTTTGGTTTAATTGGGTTTAACGTCCTATTAACAGCCTACGTTATTTGAAGGCGTGCCTCTATATTCACATGTATGTAATATATGCAGTATGTTGATGTATTTGCCTCTATTAAACACTATGGCACCCATGATAATATTCCGACCGGTCACAATTGTCATTTCAAGGACTTTAGCAAGTCCCGGGGTGGACCGTACATGTAATCTATAACCTTACCCCCTTTGGCAATCATTCAACACAAAGAACAAAAGTGAGTTATTCGCAAGCAGGCGATATGAAACAAATGGTTGCAGAAAGTAGGGAGAAATATAAAGATGCCAAAGGTTGAAATGGACGCAGCAAAATTGTGTTGATCGCTTTTCTATCCCCATGTAGAGGGCATAAAAGCAAATCCCCGATTCTACATGTGGTTCCAACTTATGTGGCCTCCTTAAACATTGAACAACACGTATGTTATTTTCTAAAGCCCAGACCCGTGGTGTATAAAGAGAAAAGTAAAGCATACGCAGAAACCATTGTAACGTTTCAATGTACAGATTTTTCGAAAACAAATAGTCATACAGAGATGATATACTAAATACGGACTCAAACGTGACCATGTCACTGTCAATCGCAGTTTAAGAAAGAGTATTTACATTTATACTGAACTTGGACTCAATATACATACTAAACATTTTAAAGGTTGTTTTTCAATGAACTTTCTAGTTGGTGTATAAATACATCAGCATGTAACCAACCTGATTACTATGTTATTCCATGGAGCGCGGCAGATAGTTATATTAATAGATTGCTTTATATTTGGTTTTGTTTTGTCATAAGTGTTTTTGCGTTGTAATCAATACAAACACGTTATCAATCTGACCAGGACGACGTCTCACATTGAGGGATGACGTCATAAGCTTCGGTACCTTCCGTGGTGTTAGACTTGCATAAGACCGATATTTTCGAAATAATCTAAAACAATATCAATATCGCACTGAATGTAAATAGAACGATAGAATACTACGCAGTTCATATTGTATTTGTCTCAAGACCCATTCAGGTTTATACTCCATAAACCGCAACAAAACAGGATTCAATCCTTAATTGAACTAACCTAATATTTAAAAACAAAATGTCATGTCCAGTGGATTAGAATGTGTTTAGTTTTGCTAAATAAAAATAACTTTTACCTACATTTTATTTAGAAACTGCTTCAGTTTGAAAATGTCGTCCTGGATTCATTGTTTGGAAATCATGACGCATCATATAGGTAATTACCTTCACGTCCAACATATGTAATCTGAACTGGTGAATTTATTTTACACGATTATCAAGTGTTACAAAAACAAATATTGAGAACGGATAAGGGCTCGTTTGTTTTCTTTATTACGATTGATTACGATACAAAACATTTTCCAAACAGATTTAACTTCTTGATGGAAAGTTTCCCACAAATGTATGTATACATGTACTGCAATCTCCTATTTAAACATCACATGAAAATGCATTTCATCAGACCACGACTGCAACGAGTTCAGTGTAATCCAATTTTCTATAATGTTAGAACTTCGTTAGAAGCAAGCAGATCGTGACATTAGGCTTTTCCGGGATCTTTGATTGCAATGACGATACAGACACTCATGACAGAATCGGGAATGTGACGTCAGGCCACACTTGACACGGTGCCCCTTTTACAACTCTTTGGACTTCTTTTTTCATTCATTTCGTCAATGATGTCTTCTTCGTAGATAACCGCATGACACTGTCGTCATACACGAAGGTGTATTTCCATGGTTCGTGTTGAGCTTATTGATCTTAGCCTAGCTGACTTAAATAAAACAAAAGATGTTTGCTTAATGTTTATATCAAACTATCACCAAAACAACATGATAGGAAATTGTCTACAATATGCTGTTGCTATGTGGGTGTTTGCCCTAAAATAGATAGGAAGATACCGTATATCATATATATGAGTTATCGGAAATTATTTCCAGAATTTGACTTTGAACTAGAGACTCTGCATGCACGTCTCAGTGTAACATCAAGCGTATCCAATGAAATTAAATAAGCACGTGACCTTAATTTGATGGTCGTGATGTGGACATACGTGTTTAATACTGTGGGCTATAAATACATCGTGTTTTGAAAACCTAAACGTGAGTGTACCCCTTTTATTGGGGTTGCGCTAAAGCAAAATTGTTTTTCATTGTGACCTGTCTGTATTTACTCATTTCATTCAGCTCACAAGTCGCTAAAAAAAGTATTCTTCCAAATAGCTTTAAACGGACGATATTAGTAATTTAGATGCAATACTTCAACTTTAACATTTATTTCTAAACTCAGATTTATTTTCAAGATAATAAATGACAAATTGATTCAGAGACAAGCAAAAGGCTTTGTAGATGTGTGTGCTTGTATCATGCCTGATAGGTCTCGAGGATTGTTTGTTTGCTTATTTTAGTTTACGTTAAGGACATGTAAAGACGGCTGATGGGAAAAACATTTTAAAATAGAAAACAAGTCGGGAAATGAGGAATAAAAAGCATTCATATATCCAAAGTATTAGAATCAATTTTGGTTTCTCTAATTTCCCCTATAGACACAGATGAAAATTCCCTATTCCATAGCGGGCCCTACATAAGTTCCTATCGTACTATAGTATGCAGTTGGACACGGCATGCTTATCTATTCTTCCCAGTGCAATAGTTGCGTCTCGAAGAACGGAATCAAGCCAGTTATGTTATACATCAAATTGGTTAGAATTTGGTCAGCTGGAAACTTTCATAAATCATATTCACATCACCTGTTTGTTTTAATGTTTTATCACTGGCTTAGGCTTAACACCATGTTATAAAGTGACCTCTCCTTCTTAAAGGTTGGTACAATAACTCGTATTTTGTTTAGAGGAATTAATATGCGATTACGACCCATTGTAACCATTAGCTTTAAACGCTCGGCGATAATCATTTTAGTGGCTTTAAAAAAAAATCATCACCGATCCATTGCTAAGTTAACGTCTTAAAGTCCGTACCGCACCGGAAGGCCCTGGTCACGAAGTCCGTACCGCACCGGAAGGCGTTGGTCGCGAAGTCCGTACCGCTCCGGAAGGCGTTGATCACGAGCAGGAGGGATGTTTTGCTTTCTGATCAAAATCATTTGTATTCTTTTTGTTCAGAGAATAAAAACCAAGGTACAAATCCAAGTCTTTTCGATCCATATACATTAGGTAATTACATGATTAATTGTTGCGGTACTCCGTGAGACGCATGCTAATCGGAATCCCGACATGCACCGCTTTAGAAGATTAAATCAAGACGAAAGGACACATGAACGACACGGGTGCGATATTAAGGTTACCTATTCCAACATTGATTAATGAGCATGTGCAATATTATATCGGACACCAGCGGAAGTGGAACTGATCAAAGGGAGTTAATTACACTTAAAGGAAACGATGGTTGTCAGATCACATCAAAGCAAAGACCAAAGGGAGATTGAAGAATATCAATCCAATATCATGACTACCAGTAAAGAAAGAAATGTATGGATCTGTTAAATAAGCGTGACATTATGATCATAAAAATAATGTCGTAAAATGTGGCGCGCTTGACACAGAATGGCAGGAAGGTAAAACAGCTCCTGGATTACTTTGGGAAGGTAGGCGATGTCTCCGACATTCTAGGGAATAGGTGTGTAGGTTGATGTCCCTGAAATACGGGGTTATGTGCGCGGTGTCTCCGACAAACTGTATAAGCATGATACTCAATAAGCGAGAGACGTCATGGACATGAACTAGAGACCTAGACCCGTACCAGAGACCTAGGCCCGTACCAGAGACGTCATGGGCATGAACCAGATACCTAGGCCCGTACCAGAGACCTAGGCCCGTACCAGAGACCTAGGCCCGTACCAGAGACGTCATGGGCATGAACCAGAGACCTAGGCCCGTACCAGAGACCCGTACCAGAGACATAGGCCCGTACCAGTGGACTCGTTTTCATCCTCAAGCATGGATTTCATTTCATGCTAAAAAAACCTTTCTTGTAACACGCTTAATCCATGCGAGACGATCAAAAGTTCGTTCAGACAGAAACATTGAAAACGGTATTTGTCTTGAAGTCTCTCCACAATCCGTCTAAATTACTAAGAAAATGTGACTTATTATAAAACAATCACTGAAACAACAAATTGGTCTTGTACACAGAGTCTGAGTTTGAGTATGAGGACGTTTTCGTGAACACAGACCTTGGTTTTGAATGAAATCATGCATGAATTTTTTATTACCTAAACTCGATCAAATAATACGTATCAGTATGAATTACATATATCTCGTGCCTGTCTTCTAACTCCCTTACTATATTGTATCTTTCATCAGATAATACATAAAACATTTTAATACATTTACCAGTTTGTTATATAAACAACGTAACAATGATGATTGCATATGACAAAACTGGTCCATTACAGTTATAGTTTACTGTGCGTATGAATACAACAACTGAAGGGCAAAGCAAACGACACCATGTCAACGTTCGCATAATAAGCGAGAACTTTAGTGACGTAAAATAAAGACGGACGTGATATTACTTTCATTACATTCCTTTACATGTTCTATATAGGTATGTCACGATTTCTGTAATGAAAATGGTCCGAGATTAATGTACAGTGCATTTAAACAACAATGGCGGTGTAAGCTACGTCGAAAATGGAGTAATTTTGTCTGTATTATCATGACGTTAAAATGGCACCAAAATATTCAGAACCTAGTCTTGTTTCATTTCATTGATATGATAATTAAGATACGGACTAGAAATTAGAGCGAGATCCGGTCCAGACATGTTATACATCGCTCACACTTGGCCGTATATTATAGAGCAAAATATGTAAACTTAAACAGAGAAAAGGTTTATTTCGAGAGTAATGGCGCGAAAAGGAAAGCATGG